GCTAGTGCAATTTAGGCTTATAAATGGTCTTTTGCATTCAGGATTTTGAATAATCCGGAAAATATTTTTCCCCTCCCCAGTATGTGAAGAATATAAAATCATTCCAAAAATTGCCCAGGTGAAACATTTCATTTTACTTGTCTTGATTTCAAGTAGATCTCTCTTCTTAGAAATGTTTGGCAAACTATTTTAGGGTGCACAATTCTCTTCCAAACGCAGCTTGGAATTGAATGCAGTTTTTATGTTGATGGCTGTCCTCTAGAATTAGGGGAGGGTGATTCACTACCCTGAAGATCTCGCCTCATAGTCAAAATGCCCTGAGATGGGGATGCACTCCAAAGTAGATTTTGAAATTGGGAATTCTGGTGGAGATTGGCAACAGCAGTGGAGGAAATCCCGTTTTGCCAGTAAAAAAAATTCATTCATACAATATCAGATTTGCAAAGATAAATTTTAAGAACTTTAAATTATTAATCAAATTATTATTTTAAATAGCCACCAAGGAAATTTAGGAAAAACCTTTTAAGACAATGGCACTGAATGTAGCCTACTAAAATTCTAAGTATGATATAGGACAAAGACATATAAACTCATTTTGAAAAGACAAATAGTGCCAATTAGTATTTCAATGTTCTAATTTATTCCTAGATAGTAGGACTGAATTCTCTCTCTCTCTCAAAATATCATGAAAAAAATACCATAATTTATAATTCTAATAGGCTACTGCAATAGTGCAAGTGAAATTGAGGTTTCCTTTCTGTCCTATTTGCCATTAAAATCCTATTCGCTACTACAGACTCTAAGTTAAGATTGGAGCACTGTATATCCAATGATATTGACAACTATGCAATTACATGCAATTAGAGGAGAGTTCATTTTGTTTCATAGATGTGGAAAGGTGTGGAACTCTTTTTTAAGCTGAGAACTGCACTTGACCTTTGAACAACACATGGAAGACATTGCTCCAAAATTAAAGCCCAAACAAAAAATAGATTTAATATAAAGATTCTTGATATTATTTCTCATATATTTAATAACCTTCTTCTTCTGCAATATTAAAATTTGATAGCAACTGTTGAAACAGGGCTGAGAATTTTTCCAGATATATTAAGAAATCTACTTTAAACATTCTGAACAAATGTATGGCTGTATTCATAAACATTAAGCCAAGATTTATTGGATGAGTGGTTGTTGAACAGAGACAAATCATAATCACTATTTTATATGACTCCAGTTGGTTTATTTTTGCCAACTTCTTTCCAATAACCCAAAAAATGGGCAAACCACAAAAACAAAGGCAAGCCACAATTATGCGTTCAGACACAGGAGATATAAGCTTTAAACTCAAGTTCAATTTCAAATTGTAATATATTGGAAAAAGAAAGTTATTGTTTCTTAATTGAGATGGATTTACTAAACCAAAAATTAAATCCAACTATAAAGCTTATTATTATATACAAACCTTATTAAACTAGTTGAACTAAATGGATCTTTGTTATTGGAAGATACGGATTGTCTGTTATCAGAATCTTTCAGAGAGACTTGATTGAATACATTGATTTTTTACCAAAAGGTGAATGAGTATTATTACAACATCTACAGGTAGTCCCTGCTTAATGACCATTCATTTAATGACTGTTCAAAGTTACAAGTCATTATGAGTAGCTCTCAGATGACTAGCTCTCAGACTTATGACTACTGCAGCATCTCTGCATTACATGATCATAATTCAGGTGGTTAGCAACTGTCACGCATTTACCACAGACACAGCATCCTGCAATCACCTGATCTCCATTTGTGAGCTTCTTATCTGGTTTATGACAACCAAAATCAATGGGATAGCTGGATGGAGATTGTAAGTTGTGATCATATGATGTCTTGTTTAATGAACACAGGCAATTTGCTTAACAACTATAGCAAAAAGATCATAAAATTGGATGTGGTCATGTGATACCTCGTTTAACAACCAGACTGCTTAATAACACATTTTCAAGTCCCTGTTGTGGTTGTAAGTTGAGGGCTACCTGTATAGTAAACAAGAGAAAGTAAAATTCTCTACAGATACATCTTTAAATGTTTCAGTAAAAATCAAATAATTATAGAATTTCCTCTCAAAATCTGATGGCACCAATACAGCAAGCTACATACTTTTCAGGACTCATAAATTCAATTTTTAAAGTAAAAATTAAATTTTTCTGCAATAATGCTGTGTAGCCAATAATTACATTTTCTTGTAAATTTATTATTTAACAAAAACTAAATCTAAACAGGAGTTGGGAGTATTATGATTTCTGTTTCAACTATCAGAATATATTTCAGAATATATTCTTACAATATATGGTTTATATTAATAAACCAAGCTATGCTGAAGCAGGTTTTCAGTTTCACTGCTTTTTAAGCTGTTTTCAATCATTTTTTAAAAAAAATCAGTGAATAAAAAGTTTCTAACATGCAAGTGATTTTTTAAAGAAAAATAGTCAAATAATCTTTTTAACATGAACAATTATATCAATATATTTACAGATTAAACTATAAATTTAATCTGCCACAATTCCACCAAGTGGTAGGTGAATCCTACATACTATGAGTGTACTATCCTACTTTAACTCTAAAAATTTACTGAGATATTTTCAATCCTTTCTAGAAAAATGTTTAACATATGGCTAAACTCTGACTTTAAAAAATAAAAGAAACAATTGACTGGAAAAAGATTATTTCCACCTAAAATAAAAGTGCATGTGGGCAACGTATTAAATATACACATACTAAATAAATGGAACAAGTTTACAACTTCAGCAAAAAGTAGATTTTAATCTTTTAACCACCACTATAAGCATCTTTGTATTTTAACACTTCAATATTCAGACAGATTGCTTGTAGGCAGCTGCAACTATACATTATTATCAACAAGTATCCAGGTTAATTAGATATTCATATATTTACTTTAAAGTAAGTGGTGGAAAATCGATGGTATGAATTCAGCTATACTGGTTAATAGAACTGGTAAGATTGGATTGCTTTCTCCACATTAGTTTTCCGGTGACCTATGGTCCAAGTTTCTCCACGTTTACCAATATCTGAGAGACAAAGAGGGACACTCTTATGAAAGACACTGTTATCAATTATCTCCTTTTTTAGCAAACAATCCCAAAAGCTTGTCAAATTCAGCAATTCCCTTGATGAGGTCCTTCTAAGCCTGCTTCTATCGGTCCAATGAGATATGTATAAATCTGGATCCAACCCAATAATATTTTGCAAGTCCACTGACATCTAAAATAGCCCTTTAAGGTTTTATATCTCTACCTGCCTTTCTTAAAGGATTTCTTCCTTGCCAGAGATAAAATTAATAAATGCTAAAATTCACCTCACAGATGAAGGCAGTAAATTATGCTGACTCAATCTAAAAGAACATTCACAACTACTAAAATCATTGGTTCTTACAAAACAATCTTAAGAAGTATTTACTCAGAGCTTATTGGTGTTTATGAGTGAAACGTTCAGTGAATTGTGTTGATTTCAACAGAATAAGTATATCTGATGATCTCAGGATTGTGCCTATCAAATAGACATTAATATCAAAATAAAAAAATACAAAACCTTTTACCACAGATGAAAAAAATTATCTGACATCTATGATGTATAATTTAAAGAATCCTTTTTAATTCTAGAATCCCTTAAGCAAACCCATCATAATGAATTGAAACTGAAAACCAATTTATCTCAAATGTAATTGCTATGTGAGCATCCAATTCGAAATAGCACATCAAGTGCAGTAGCAACAATCACTGCAGCATCATTAGCCCTTTGTACAGCCATGAAAATGACAATAAACCGCATGTTTTCTATTCAATCACTTAATGGTTTTCTACTGAGCAATCACACTCTAAATACAAATGAAAAAATGTCCTTATTTTCCAAACAGACCAGTCTTTAATACTGAGATTGATAGGATGAGGTTAAAAGAATAAATCATGGTACTGAACTGATTATTTTGAAGCAAGTGTCCCATTTTTACAGGGAAAAGTGCATTTAGTTCAGCAGCAAAACAGCACAGCATGAAGATATTGTGCTTTGACGCAGACACTCCATAATAATGGGAGGATGTACAAGGCAAGGCAAGATATAAAACCAGAGTAACATTGTCAACCGACCATAAATTTTACGTATACTGCAGGGTTTCAAAAAAAGACACATTCATTAATTGCACAAAGACCAGGAAAAACCCTTACAATTATCTGTTGCATTTCAGATCCATCATTGATGCAATACTAAATCTTAACAGAACATGATACTTTTCTACAAATTTGTCACTTCTTAAAGTGAAAAATGTTGCTTATGCTAAATGAGGCAACCATAAAATAATTGCTTCTTCACTATGATATGCTTATAACTGATGAATTCAAAGGAACTCAAGCTTCTGTTGGACTTACTTTCTTTTCACTAACTAGTTGCTTATATTTTTGCAATAATATGAATCAGTCAATAAAAAGCCCTCAGCAGAAGAATACAACTTCTAGATTCAATAAAACAGAGTAAATCCCACACCACCCCCAATCCAGTGACATACCCTGACTGTAAACATACAAGACCATTCGTTTTAAACTTAAAATAAGTTAAAGGATTTTCCAGAATAAAGGAAAATACAAATAATTCCAATAATTTTTTTTGTCACAAAATGTGAACTACAAGGAATGACAAAATAATTTGTGTCACTAAGTTGCTTTTTATCCAACAGGAAAAGGCTTGGTTTAAAAATATTTTCCCTTAAATTGATCAGCAGTTAATTGACATTGTTTTCAGTGAACTGGTACCCCAAATTATCCAGATAACCATCAAATTCACTAAAGAAAACTTGAACAAGCATTTACAATGAAAAAAAAAATCTAAATGGCTATGTTTCCTCTATGAGCAGGAACACATACGTGTGGTCTGAAATTTGCCTGTTTTATATTATTTGTTTTATAATATAATATACAATCTATATATTATATTATATTTACACACATACACAATACTAACAGTGCAGTTTGCATTTAGTAGAGTGTACGGGACAATCCATCTTTTATCCACACTGGGCACCATGTAGCCTAGATACTATATACATAATGACACCACAAAAGCCATTTATATTTTGTACATCATCGGGGAAGATATCAGTCAGACCATGGCTCGATATGGTCCTTGCATTTTGAGAAACTGGATGATAAAGGAAGGTCCACCTGCAACTATCTGAGCTGGAAGGGTACTGAGTGGACAGTTCTCAATGCTCATTATGGATAGTTTGCTGCAAAGAGCCAGTTCAAAAGGAAGGCTGTTTAGATGTGGGTTGTCATTTAGATACAGTTCTTCCAGATTCTCCAGTGTACCTGCAAAACAATGAGCATTTTTGAAACCAAATATATTAGTCATAAAATAACAATAAGTGACATAGAAATTACTACTAGCTACCTTGATTTTCTGTCCATTACCAAGAACAGCAAACATATCATCCTTTGCATCTAAACAGTTCTCTGAATTCAAAACACATTTCTAAGTTTGCAGTAGCAACAATTTTTTTAGTTCTGGCATGGAAAGAAAAACCCATATGAATCTAGAAGGGACAAAGCCAATTGGTTTGCTGGAGCTGGCTTATCCTGGCTCATGAGAGCAGATTGTTAAATTTTGGGGAATTTTGCAAACACGTGACAGCAGACATGAGCTATAACATTTAGTGTGCCAATCAATTGTTTCACAGCAAGTGGCACAACGCAACAACAATGGACCTAATAAGGTTGGTTCTTAAACATTTACCAGCTCACTACTGGGTAAAAACCCTTATTACATTTCTTCAACAACCTAAGGCCACTTTCAGCTAGAAAAGTATCTTTTTTTCCTTACTGACATCCCAACTCCAAAATCTTACTTTTAAGAGACCACATTAAGCCAAATGTCTTATGACAAAAATTTTCAAACAGACTTGCAAATTCCAACTTACATTTTCAAAACATTGAAATTAAATAAATTCATGCCTGCATTTGGGAATCTTGAGTATATTATGCTGTGCTAAATGTCAAGACTGATATTAAATGAATCTTAAATATCATGGTTACTTCTGTGTGGGAAGCTCAAATGTTTTTCAAAGACTCTCTATTGATCGATGATGCATGATGAGGATAGAGTTCCAGCAATATCGATGACTTTTTTCCCCTGAAGACTACTACAAATTATGCAAGTTATTAATAAAATTGTTCTAGTCATATGCAAAGTAAAAAAAATAGCTTGGCAGACATGGAAGAACTTTTAAATATTCCAATCAGTTCTACCTTTGTGGTTCTTACATTCCCAAGATCGATCTTATGAGTGGAAATAACTTAAATAAAACAAATACTGCCAGATGCTGACTTACAAAGAATACCTCATTGGTACATTACAGCAATATTTCTCAACCTCAGCAACTGTGGATTTCAACTCTCAGAATTTCCCAGCCATTGCCCAGTGTTGACTGGGAAATTCTGAGAGTTGAAGTTGAGACAGTTTAAAGTTGCTGAGGTTGAGAAAACTACATCAGAAGTACCTTATTAACACCAGCCCATGAATTTATGGATCATGTCTTACCAATTTCCTCAGGAAGCTGTGTAAGAAAGTTTTCTCCTAGCCCCAGATGTGTCAGATTGATAAGGTGACCAATTCCTCTAGGAAGAGTGCTCAACTGATTATTCGTTAGGATCAGTCGCTGGTTAAGAAATATATAATTTAATCACAAAATTAATATCATCTTCCACCAAAGAATTAACAAAAGTGGGTATCTTTTTATCATTAGAGCAACAGCCTTTGACTCCAACTGTCAACAAAAAATGGCTGAACTTGGGCTGCATTACTCCAAAACACTGAACGTGTCATAGGAACCAGAACTGTCAAATGTTCTGTAAAGTCACTATCCATGTATACCAAAGATGTTTTTTCACGAGGCAACTGAACTTTCTTGTTTTTCTTTGAAGATGTTTCACTTCTCATACAAGAAGTGAAATGTCTTCAAAGAAAAACAAAAAAGCCCAGCTGCCTTGTGAAAAGGCATCTTTGGGACAATTATGACCTGGATGACTGAGAATCTCCATAGACATGTTCATGTGTACATTAAAAAAATCTTTCTCATTGTTGAGCTTCTCTGTATTTATTACTCAGTATAAATTCTCACTTTTTTGACTATAGGGCAAATATAATAAACATGGAAGTAACAGAAATTAGAAAAACCTGCTAAAAGTTCTGACTGAAGAGGAAGGTTTTAACTTCTTTCATAAGGCTGAAAAGGCTGGGATTACATTTTATGCCACACTGTGTATTTTTTTTAAATAAAAATGTTACATTTATACAGTAAATGCATTTAATACATTCTATAGCTAGGGAGCAATGGAGCATCTTTCTTAACTTCTCTTCCTTATATGTCAGTAGGCATTCCCACATAACACAACAGAGAGTGCTCAGCATCCAAATGGCAATTTGAACCAATTTATACATGGCAGTTTTTTAAAAAATGACATGAAATCCAGTATGGTATAGTGGCCAAAGATACCAGGCTAAAAAAAAACTGACATAAAGGCAATCAATCAATCAATCAGGAAGGCAGGAAGGCATTTATATAGACTTTGAATTGGACAAAACATGCTATACCATATAATTATTTTACCTGCAGATCCCTAAGGTATGCTATTTCATTTGGCAAAGATTCCAGCTTATTTTCCTCTAGATCCAATTCTCTCAGTTTCCTCAAATTTCCAATGCCATGTGGGAGGTTTCTTAGGAGGTTATTTGACAAAATAAGAACCTAAAATAAAATTAATAGAGAATATTTAATGAACTGGAGCTATCCATTAAGTAATGGTAGAATTAGCTAAATATTTTTTAAAAATAAAAAGAGCTAGAGACTGTTCACTGTTGAACTTTAATGCCACATTGGCTCTAGCAAATATGATTTGTGAAATAAATAATTCTTTGTTGGGCAAGAATGAGGAAAACATGAAGAAAACATTTTTCTAGAAACTTTATAAAAGATCTCTGGAAAGTGCTACATTTTCACATTCCTGTCAACAGATTTTTAATTTTATAAGAATAGTTTTCCATGAATAATTTAATTACAAAAACATTTAAATTATTTTGTGCATGTAGTAAAGAATTTTTTATATATATTCTTTTACCCTGTAGAAATGGAAAGGAATAGATACATAGGGCAGGGCAAAGATATCTAAAGATTGTTTATATAGGGTAACTATACATGCCAATTACAAGGAATGCTATATCTTTTATGAGTTGAATGGAAAATAAGGAAAGGAGAATAGATAAAAAGATTCCATCAACCACTTCCCATACTCACACACTCAAGCTTGAATTCTTTGTTAGAATTCATATAGAAAGTCATACAACATATGCATTTTATAGTTTTACCAAGAAAACACCCAACTGAATATATAGGTAGTTCCAATTGCTTAGTGACCAGTTGACATTATGACTGACCTCCCCAGTTATTTACAATATGGTTTTGATGTTCTGCCAACTGACCCTACCCCCAGTGGTCACGTGATCACATTTTAGAACTTGGCAATTGGCCTGCATTTACAGCCATTTGCAGGATCCCATGGTCACAATACCACAATAGGTTTTTTTGTAGGAAAGTGATGTTTACTTCCAGTTTCCAGCCAAAAAAAAATGCTGAGTGAATACAATGAATTTGCTTAATGAACACTGTGTTCATTGAATGACCGCAGCAAAAAATGACATAAAATTAAGCTTAATGACCACCATAATTTACAAATATAATCCTGGGCTCAATTACAATCATAAGCTAAGGACTATCTGTATATCATTATATATTCACTATACAGGGAAATAAATACCTGCAGATTAAGATAATGTAATAGCTGTATCTTCCCTGTCATTACATAAAAAGTCATAATATGCACAACGTAAGTTTTCTGATGAGAAACAAATCTGGTATACAATTCATTTAAATAATCCTTCTAAATCCTTCTAAACCTAGGTTGTTTCAGAGTATATTTGTTAGTTTTATTAATTATCAATAAGTATGTCAAGATTGGTCAGGTTTCTTAGAATTTATTTAGCTGGTCTTTTATATTCTACTTTTTACCACCTCAAGAGAAACAAGTCCAGATACATCCTCAGGAATTTTGTTGAGTTGATTTGTCGCTAAATTGAGTTCCACCATACTAGTCCATGTCCCAAAATCCAGGGGAAGTGATGTCAGCTGATTGTCCTGAAATTTAACATAAATAAAGTTTGGGGATTTTTTTTAAAAAAAATAAGGATAATAAATTGTAAATGATATTCATTGAAGCACATAAAGAATATAAATTTCACTCTATCCTCTCAAAGAAATAATCATTACAAGGGCTTGGAATTGTTTTTTAAAGAAATATTCACAATCAATTTAGCCAAGGACAAGATGCATTCTACATCTTCAAAATAGAAGGCGGTGACGAATATCAATCTTAATTGGATGTCCTACTGATTCTGAGAAAAGAACCAGTTTAGTATAATTGTAGTCTTATCACCCATATAACTGCAACAATTAAAACAGTTGTCTATGTTAGCTTTTCTATTTTAAATCAACAATTTAAATTAAATATGTGCTGCAACAACTTTTAGCTAGATTTAACTATTAAATAACCTAATCAGCATTTTAATGTTTAATTCATTTTTTTTTAGTTTTAATCAACAGAAGTTTTTTGAAAGTACAGTCTAAGCTTTGTTCTTTTATAGAAAATAGTACTCTATGTTTGCAACTCCCCAATTTCAACAGCATTTATTACTTACGCCAGGGGTCCTCAACCTTGGCAACTTTAAGACTTGTGGACTTCAACTCCCAGAATTCTGGGAGTTGAAGTCCACAAGTCTTAAAGTTGCCATGGTTGAGGACCCCTGACTTACTCCACTACATAAGAAAGCCTTTATACTCTTGATACTAGTTTTATAAATAATCCTGGGAAAGTCATCTTACAAAATCAAGTATCCATGGTATCTGCCACAATTCTCTTTGGTTGCACTTTCATAACAATATTTTATTTTACACCAGAAAATTCATATTCCTGAAACAAAGCCTCACCTTCATGTTCAGCTTACTTAATACTTTTGCTCTAGAAAAAATTCCAAAAGGAATTTTGTTAATGCGGTTATGTTCCATATTTAGAGCGTAGATAGTAGAGAACTGTGAAGGACCACCCACAGGATAAGATTGAAAACAGTTCCGTGCCAGAGTTAGACTAGTCAGATTCACAAGACTGGATAAGAGACCCTGCAAGAGCAAAGTGAACAAATCAAATTATATGCTTTAGGTACTCTAATCTCCTTGTACTTGAATAGATATTTTCTCTTATATGCAGTCTAGCTATCATGGTCTGTTCAAAACGGTAATGTCTTTAAGAGTGATGTTTTCTGCTTTTGATAATACCTTTAATAGCTGTAATGCCTTCATTTCTGACAAGTCATACCATATGTTAGCCATTTGTTAAGTATTTAAAAAGACAGCTCAATCTCTGAGAGGGTGTACTTTACCCACTTACTGACAGGTACCCAACACACGTTTATAAAACAAAAATTAAGTCATTCTCCAGAAGCAATTTCAGGAGTAGCTACAACATCCCATACAATAAAGAAAGAGATGACAGACAAACTTGCCACTCTTTGGAATTGCCACATTTCAGGGATTCTTGTTGTTCCAATTCTAAGATGTCTGAGGCTACTCGGTGGCGGGGGGGGGGGCAGGGGAAGGGAGAGATTTATACCTTTAGCCAAGGAAAACAGATTATCTCTGCTTGAATTTTAAAATGTATAACTTTAAAGGATGCAGAGATATTAAGCATATGAAATACTAATCATTTATTTATATCATTTTTAAGGAGAAAATGTTATTCACTCTAAATGCAGAGTAGGATATCCAGCTGTTCATTCCAAAACTACAGTGAAGACTTTGCATAGCTGACTTTTTAGGAGCTCCTGAATGCTTCCCAAAACTAGCTCAAGGCTATCATAATGCATTTTGAAATGCACAAGTATGTTAAGAATTGAAAGTTGAATGTATTATTGTTAAAAGAATCCCAATATAAACAATTTATTGGACAACCGCTTTTTCCAGCTAATATTTTAAGACATGTTTACTTGGCAAGCATTTCATCATTAAAAACTTAGTGTGTTTTGCAATTCTGCAGTTTTCTTTAGAAATGCATTTTCTTTCTTCTGCAGCCAAAGTGATATGCTTTAATGGATTACACTAGTACGCTAATAAGTGGCTCTTTTCAGCAACAGTTATAAATTATATACAGACCAGCACTTAAAAATGCAAAATTCTATTTGTTAAGGATGTTTTAGACTGGGAGCCCATTTATAAAGCAATCTGATTTCCAGTCAGTTTCTTTTGTATGTTTAATTACAGTTAAGTAACTTTCATAATGTTCTTGGGAGGAGAGATTAATTACTAAGCAACTTTCTTCCATTAGCAAAATCTACAAGCAATATTTACTCATTCTCAATCAGTTTTAATATTAATAATTTATTTGATGGATTTCTTTATTTCTTTTGCCTTATTTCTAGATCATTTATTATTCAATGCAATTCCAATGATTCGTATTAACATTATATATTACTTTTAAACTGAAATATTAATCCATATTTATTTGTGTTATACAGATATGTAAGTATCTTTACAATCAATTATCATGTCAGATTTCTTGCTCCACATTGTCTTCGTGGAAATGGAATGTAAATAAGTAAATCCACATTTTTGTACTTTTAATTCTATGCAATTGAATATCCATAAACTGAACAATTACCAGTTCCACTCAAAGAATCACGACTAATATTCTACTAATATATGTTTGTAACTAAGAAACAGACAATTACACTTAGGGTCAACAACACACACCTCCTAATGCATTTGCAGAATAACCTAGTAAATTCTTGTTTTATATATATAATTTTTTTTTATTTATGTATTTTTATTTTAAAATGTAATATGAGAAGTGCTTTGAAGTGAAGTGCTGGCAGATGATGGGTGACATCTCAATTTACAGAATAAAGCTGTATTGTTTGGAATAATATTCCAAATCTTGGTTTATAATTTGGAAGTATTTGTTGATTATCTTGGTTTATTTTAACCAGCATTTACTATTGCCTTTTTAAATGTTTTTAATGCATTTGTACATCTGTATGAATTCGAGGTCAACTCGTGGAGATTATTATAATAGCTACTAAATTTGAATTTTTTTCAAAAGTCGAGGTCAACTCGTGGAGATCATTATTCTAGCTACTAAATTTGAATTTTTTAAAAAAATTATTTAATTTTATTTATCACATTTAGAAACTGCTCATCTCCCTAACAGAGCAACCTTAGGCAGTGTGTGGCAATGTTAAATAAAAGTCTCTTTCTTCCTCTCGCACACATTTCAACATTAAACTAACAGACTAGAATCAGGTGGTTTATACATTTAATAAAATAAAAAAGCAAATTCTGTCAACAAGACTTTTTTAGTATTATAAAATTTATGGTGAAGTGGCTCTTCTTATTTTATTTTACTCAAATTGAATCATTTATTTTTATTACAGGGTCTCCTACTTCTCAAGTGTCTTACCTCTGGCAAAGTAGAAATAATGTTATTTTCCAAATTTAACTCATCAAGTTTACTGCACTGTGCTAGAGTCCTGGGTATTGCTGAGAGACGGTTATATCTCAGACCAAGGCTTTTCAAAGTAGATAGATTTCCTGAAAAAGAAAAGAAAATGTTTAAGAATCTTATGTTTAAAAATCCCCACTATCTGTATTTATTCTTGGGAAAGGGTAAGTCCCTCTTTCTCTTTTAGTACTATTTATTGGAAAAGATACACACTTTTCACACAAATATATGAACACCTTGAGCATCAGGATAATTTTCCAACATACAAATATACAACTCTAACAAATTCATCAGTATTTCAACAATATCCCATTAGTCAAGATCATTTTCCACTACTGTGCTTTGCTTTCATTTCTGGCTTCCCAGCAATACTTTAAAAGCATAAATCTAAGTGTTTTGTTTCTTTTTAATCATTACTGGCTGTCATCACCACAATACTTTAGAGCAATTTACACATTTTTAGATTACAAGGATAAGCATTTCCTTATGAGAGGAGGGGCAACATTAATAGCTTTCAAAAGCAGCGAGACAAAAAACCTTGCAAGTGAACTTCATGCCAAAAGCTAATTAACAAAAGATCTTCTGTCGTCTCCTGAAATTTTTTGCATACACATCAAACTTAGTTCTGAGTGTACAGATATTATTTAGTGCAATAATGAGTACTGGGGCAACACTCTCAAGGAAAACTATTTATGTACAAAAACCTTAATTTCATTCATGTGACTCAAGTATTAAAAACTCAAGATACTAATCAGTTTAAAAAGTGTTCAAATGCAAGTACATTTGGACACACTACCTAAAAAAAAACTGAAAGCACAGCTAAAAGTAGGAAAAAGCGGGGGGGGGGGGGAAAGAGAATTAGACCTGCCAGCTCATAACACAACTCTAACTTTAAAATGTATCTGCAAATAAAAGTTGCACTAAGACACAAATCTGTCTTTCAAGGTAATTTCACAATTAGGCAACAGAATACAGTTACAGTAACCCCCCCAAAAAAGGGAGTTGGAGAAAGGGCAAGCAAAGGAGAAAGCCACCCAGAATCTTAACAAAAAGATGCTCGTGATACTTTGATCAGACCTTGCCTATTTTGACTATTTACAATTGGATTGTCTACCAAGATCACAGATAAAAGTCTAGTACGGCAAATGAAATAAACCACATATACATGTATTCAGTGTAACTTCATTTTAACAGACTAATGGGGGAGGGGTGATGCTTTGTTGTTCATAAATGTGAACTAAATATGAAAGTACATAATTGCAGCAACTTATATCAGTTAAATACAATATTCAAATGGTGTCCTTTTAATTACTTGTATAATGAAATAATTACACAAATGCCATAACCTGGTCCATTGCACGAGGTCTGCTAAATCAAAGTTTTGCTGTATTGTTGTTTGTGCCTGAACTAACTTATCCTACCCTTTCTGTTAGCAGAAACACAGAGCATGGGTAGTAAATTAAAATTAAAAATTAAAGCAATATAGAAGATTTTCCTTCTTATTTTTCCAACTCTGAATGATTCAATTCACCAAACAATGATGGCAACAGTGATCAATAATTATGGGGCCATAAATACATGGAAAACCTATTTGGAATATAAGCAAAGTAAATGGTAAAATGAATGAATGCATGCATGCATGATTGGATGGACTGAATTAAACTGTATTAAAAGAAATGAAGTTATGTCTTAGCTTGAGAATTTAAGAAAAAGGAGGATATAATCTTTTCAGATCTTATGGACTAATAAACACACTCTTGATGAGAAAGTTCAGTGGGAAATACAAGGGTAATGTTAATTTCTGAATAAAGGATAGATTCAGACAAAGAAAAGTGAAAGAAACAAGAATGAAAAAGAATGGCCACAGCAATAGATAATTCCATGTAAGAAAGCAACTGTTGCAAAATAAGATGAAAGTTATTTTATGCTGTGTACACAGAGAAAAAGATAAGTGCAAAGAATGTAGTCAAAGAGCAGGGAACAATTTTTAAAGGTACAACAATGCAGAGAAAGTTTGATGGGAGTTTTAAAAGTTTCAGAAATGAAAGAAAACAGAGAAATGAGAAGGCTCCAGTAGACTGAATGGAATTACAAATAAAAATTATGGAGTGACTTGGGGTTATACTGATATGAGGAAATGCTGGAATTGTAGAGATTTGTATAAAAGGATGATTTGCAGAGTGGAATCAAAACAAATGAAATCAAAGTTACTGTCATTTACAAAAAGAAAGTTAGAAATGCTGCTAAAACTCTGAAAAATGCTAAAGTTGCAGCTATAATCGGGATACCTGGTAAAATGTTAAAATATGAATGTGGTTTGCTTATAGTGGTTGTGATGCCTATTTAACATCATTTTAAAGCCTTCTCCTATGCCTGGAATGGGAAGAATATAGTTACTGTTCTCTTATACAAAGGAAAAGATAATAACAGAATGCAAAACTTACAGATAAATTAGTATTGTGTGTGCTAAGGAAGATATTGGTAGAATTCTCACTAAAAACCTATGAGAGCTAACAATAAGCAACAATTTGGAAAACTCACTGAAGCCTTATTTTATGGAAAGGATATGCAGATCAGATTTTTGTAGTCACTGCTATTTGTGAGAAATGTGTGAATGTGAGAAGAAAAATGTTTGAAAGAGAAATGAAGTATACATTTGAAAGTTACCGTATTTTCCGGCGTATAAGACGACTTTCTAAACCCTGAAAATCTTCTCAAAAGTTGGGGGTCGTCTTATACGCCCAGTCGTCTTATACGCCGGAAAATACGGGTATTCTATTTTATTCCTTTTAAGCTGAGGACGCGATGGGGGCGGCGGCCAGGAACCGCTGCCTCCCGTCCTGCTCCCCCTCCCTGGACATGATGGGGGCGGCGGCCGGGAGCTGTTGCCTCCCGTCCTGCTCCCCCTCCCCGCCTGTTCAGCTGAGGACGCGATGGGGGCGGCGGCCAGGAGCTGCTGCCTCCCGTCCTGCTCCCCCTCCCTGGACGCAATGGGGGCGGCGGCCGGGAGCCGCTGCCTCCTGTCCTGCTCCCCCTCCCCATTCAGCTGAGGACACAGACGCCCATTCGGCTGAGGATGCGGCGGCCAGGCTGGGGGCGGCATGGACTCCCGACGATGCTGCAGTGGCTGCTGCCGTGCTGCCGCCGCCGCCACTGGAGCCGCTGCCTCCCGTCCTGCTCCCCTCCCCGCCCGTTCGGCGCCGTCTGCCTTTCATTCTCTCTCTCTCTCTCTCCTAACCTGGAGGGAGAGGGAGAGAGAGAAAGAGAGAAAGAAAGAGGAAAGAAAGAGAAGAGAAAGAGGAAAGAGAAAGAGAAGAGAGAGAGAGAAAGAGGAAAGAGAAAGAGAGAAAGAGGAAAGAGAGAGAGGAAAGAGAAAGAGGAAAGAAAGAGAAGGGAAAGAGAGAAAGAGAGAGGAAAGGGAAAGAGAAAGATAGGAAAGAGAAGAGAAAGAGAGGAAAGAGAGAGAAAGTTAGAGGAAAGAAAGAGAAAGAGAAGAGAGGAAAGAGAGAAAGAGGAAAGAGAGAGGAAAGAGAGAGAAAGAGAAGAGAGACGAAAGAGAGAGGAAAGAGAAAGAGATAAAGAGGGAGAGGAAAGAGAGAGGGGGAGAGGAAAGAGAAAAAGAGAGGAAAGGGAGAGAAGGAGAGGAAAGAGAGAGAAAGAGGAAAGCGAGAAAGAAAGAGGGGGAGAGGAAAGAGAAAATGAGGAAAGAGAAAAAAGATTGAGAAAAGAGAGAGGAAAGAGAGAAAGGAAAGAGAAGAGAAAGAGAGGAAAGAGAGGAAAGAGAGAGGAAAGAGAAAGAGGAAAGAGGAAAGAGAGAGAGACAGAGAGAGAGGAAAGAGAGAGAGAAAGTTAGAGGAAAGAGATAAAGAGGAAAGAGAAAGAAAGAGAGAGAGGAAAGAAAGGAAAGAGAGAGAGAGGAAAGAGAGACAGAGACAGAGAGAGAGAGAGAGACCCTTTTGACATCTAAAATAAAGATAACACTGCATATATCCTTTTTTACCTTTATTTTATATATACACACACAAACATACACACACACACACACACACACACATATATATATATATCATAAAGGTAAAAAAGGATATATGCAGTCTTATCTTCATTTTAGATATCAAAAGGGTTTTGCGGCTCCCAGTGTTTTGTTTTCGGTGGGAAACGTGTCCAAGTGGCTCTTTGAGTGTTTTGGGTTGCCTACCCCTGATATAGCCAAACTCTATATTTTAACTGGAAAAGTTGGAGGTCGTCTTATACGCCCAGTCGTCTTATACGCCGGAAAATACGGTATATATAAATGGTGGAAAAATAAGAGCAATTAGGCAGCTTGATTCTTGGGCAACTTCAAGATCATCTACTCCATGTAAGACAAGACAAGACAAGACAAGACAAGACAAGACAAGACAAGACAAGACAAGACAAGACAAGATGATAAGATAGATAAGATAAGATAAGATAGATAAGATGAGGTGAGGTGAGGTGAGGTGAGGTGAGGTGAGATGAGATGATAAGATAACCTTTATTGTCATTTTTTTACTGTGGGCACAACGGGACACATCAAAAATGAAATTTAGTTGCCCGCTCTCAAAGTGAAACACATACATGACACACACCTAAACATACTATGAACAACATATGTATAGACCCACACCCTTACATATACATAGCAAATAAATACTAAATACTGTAGAATATTAAATATTAAATGTAGAATATTCTTGTTCAAAATGAACCAATGGACAGTCATTCTGTGAGGCCCATTCTTCAGGAGTTACGTTTTTTGTGTTTTATTTGATTTTATTTTTATGATTTCATTCAGATTGCATTTTTAGTGTTTTTTATTGTAAACCAACCAGAGAACATCAGTTTTTAGGCTGTTTTAAAAATTTAATACATAAATAACATCACTGTGAGTTGGACAGTCCTCATTTTTCTGGAAGCATATGCTTTTCTGCTCATAAAGAAAACTAATTTTTCTTTCACTAAAGTCATAACATACTTACAAAGAAGCCATCACCAAGGAGAGAATTCTAACTCAAAAACAAGAAACATGCAACAGAAACACACATTTTTAAAAAGCCAAGTAACATACAATTTCAAAATCATTTACATAAAGTATCAAGTAATTTTCTTACCATTAACTATTACCATACTAACTGCTATTAACTATTATCATAATTGTTAATACATGGGTATGAATACCAGATCTATATATTTATTATAAATACAAAAATAAATTCTTATTAGGAATGAAAGGGGGGAATGATAAAAGTATAAAACAGCTAAGTAACTAAAACAAAACAAAACAAAACACCAGTGTGATAATACTTTAAAAACTGAGTAATATCACTCTAATTTATATACCCAAATCCTAACTTTGATCATATCTGAATTTTAGCAATTCTAACCCAAAAAAATGACCCTTCTACACTGAAAAAAGAGAGAGTGCTGAAACGACTTTTTATGCTGTTTGCTTCTCAATGCCTTATGTTTACTACATACTATGTGTGATAATTTCAGTAAGGCTGCAAAGTGGCTTATCGTTCCCTAAAATATAGGAAATAATATGTGTTGCTTATCTGTCTTTCTATCCAATCGTAACAATTCTTTACATTAAATAGCATTTCAAACACAAAAACCAGCTACTTCTACTTTTAGAGACTCAGCAACAATCTGTCAAGACTGGTCTTGTTTGTCATGTTATGGATACTTTGAGAATCAGAGCTTGAAGCATTCTTACTATGACTATAAATGTTTGTTGCTGAAAAATAAATGCAAATCCTTGTCAGCTGATTTGTAAATCTCAACATGTCACTGAAAATATTTTTTCATATCACTCTCAGTCTGAGGGATGTGTCCATTAGTATCTAGTAGTTATTCTCTAGGAATACTCAGGCAAAGTATATCTAAAGGGAAAATGCCTGTGACCTATCATCTGTGTTGTTTTAGGATTTATGATGGGGATGGGAAGGGAAAAAAAACCAGACAATCCTGATGTTGGCAGGATAGTCATATCAAACAAACTACGCTACTGCTGAGGACAAGAAATTGCTCATACAAAATTAAAAATTATATTTGGCTACTTAGCACAACATTAGTAATCCAGAACGAGACTAGGTACTAAAATAACAATAAGGCCAAGGCAAGATTTTGCTCACAGTGGTTTACATAAAATTTGAACCTAGAAAAGAGCCAGTTTGGTGTAGTTAATATACTGGTCTAGAAACCAGGCAACGGTGAGTTCCAGTCTTTCTCAAGGCATGGAAATCCACTGTGTAACTTTCAGTCACTCTCTTAGCCTAATCCAACTCATAGGGTTGTTGTTGGGAAAATAGAAAAAGAGAGAAATATGGTTTCAGTTGTAAAAATAAAAGCAGAATATAAATCTAATAAATGAGTGAACCATATTTTTACTTACCTATAGTGTCTGGAAGGTCCAAAAGTTCATTGTGCTGTAGATCAAGCTTGGTGATCTGTGTGCAATTGCCAATCTCCTTTGGAAGATGTTCAAGCTGATTGTGGGCTACATCCAGCGTTATGAGGTTACACAACTCACCTGATAATGAACAAAGTATGAGGTTACACAACTCACCTGATAATGAACAAAGTCACATAATTTGACATTTTATCATAAAACAGGGTGGAAGTTTTTTTCAATATTTAAATAAATAAATATAAGCATTTAATATTGTCATTTCATCTGATGGATTACAAAGGATTATGGCTAAGATTAAGAAAACACAAATATAAAGACACACATATCAAATAATACCACTTTTTAACATTCTTGAATGTTATTACTTACTTTTTATATCCCATTCCATTGTATTTTTTCTTGCTCATTTTTATTAGAATTAAATAAAATAAAATAAAATAAAATAATTAGGAATTATTAGAATTTCTTTTTAAAAATCCAATGCAACATGTCGTTGTTTGAACCCAAATACTTCAACTAAGTTTTAAAACTCTGTACTACAGAAAAATTTTGTAGGAAAAGAGATATATTTGTGTCCTGGAGTTCCAAGATACATCTCCATAATTTCATAAATTCTTGTAATAATGAAGAAGCTGTAAACAAAAATATTAACATTTCTATAAAATAATTTGTGGTAAAGGGAAATATTGGGTTAGATAAATGCTGCCATTTGTGCAACTTATATTTCACTTCTCAATGTATAATTTTAAAAATTAAAATAATTCACATTAACAGCCTAACAAAACCGATAGATACTGCCTTATTTTCTTCTGCAGGAACGCTTGAAAAATTCAGTTCCAAAAATGTATTCTTAAAAAAGATGTCCAACCAAAAGAGTCCAAGCAAGTTACATAATTAGAAATTATGCAGACTAACTTATATTCAGCTATACTGAGCATCAATAAAATAAACAGACGGAAGCCTGGTGTCAGCTATCAAACAAGAAAATTAATAATCACTTGCCAATACCTGATAATTTAGCCTTTTTAAAAAAAATTGTTCTGCAGAAAACCAATAAGAATTGTACCTAGCAGGACAATTCAGCAATTAAGCTGGAATCCATCAGATGCCCAGGATAAGCCAAGTCAGGAATGAAAATAATGTGCAATTTGACACCTATGGCAAAGGACTAATTATACTGGTTCCTCATTTTCAGATCATGCACCATATGTTCCAAAGTGAACACTAAGTCTAATGAATGATCTGCCCATGAATCAAAGCTGAGTGAAAGCTGAGATAGAAAGATCATGGAAAGTGAACTCTGGAATCTGAAATCTCTTCCATGTCACTAGCTCTTATTTTCCCTCAATTTACTTTCTCCTTTTTCTTTTCTCCTGGTGCCCATTTTCTCACATCCCCCCTTCACAAATCCACTTTTCAGACAGATTTTCTTCTTGCAACAATTTATTTGATGGAAAATAATTCAAAACATCATAAACAATATACAAAATAGCCAACAGTCTTGGCTTGACTGTTAACTTGGTCTGTTTTTCTTAATTTTTTTTTATTTTTAAGCAGATTGACCTTTAATGTCCTTTATATCATGATAAAACCTGCACTAAATCATATAGGGAAAATAAAGACTGTTTCACAAGGCTATAGAAGCAAAAGAAGTGAACAGAAACTTGAAACAGATACAAAACCATTAGGAATTACGCCAAGTACATTAGTTTCACAACAATGACTGGAAAAAACAGAAACATTTTTTGCATTTTACATGCTAGGCTTAGAGACTAGCAGAAATACTTTTACAGTCCCCCAAGCTTTTAACACAGTATTCTTTGCCTCAAATGTATGAAGTATCAGCTATTATATTAATTTGCTGTTACGGGTAATAAAAAGAGCAAGGCCAGTAACACTTTATTATTCCTATGCTGTCATGTCTTGTGTTCAGGAGGCAGCACATATATCATTGGAACCCATGAGTCTGAACTGAAATATAATTTCCTTGGCATACTGGAAAACAAAACAATTTCCCTGTCCTTTGGGAAATATATAGGCTCATTAGCATTTCAACTTATGCTACCCCTTCTACAAGCTAACCTAAATTTAACAATTTAGGCATATAAAATTAGATTGTTTTGCTGTACAACTGTAACTTTTGAACTGAGAAATTATGCAAGTTCAGAATCCTTTGAGGACATCTAGACATATACTGGATAATATTAAATAATACAACTAAGTAGTTTTATAGTAATCAATTTCAGAAAAAATGCTTCTAGCAAAAAGTTATTACAAGGTGTCTCCACTAGCCATATAAAAAAAAAAATACCCAAACTAAACCTGAAGCAATATTTCAAGTTATATAAATGCCTTGAATTTGGCCAGAAATACACCTATAGTTCTTTTTTATTTTTTCATGCTTAGTCTGTTACTATCATTTATCATTTTTCTATCCCACTTTTCATTTTTGCTGCTTCAATGTAATAGAAAATTTCATACACAGATATGGAAAACATTAGATCTTAAAAGAGGGAATTTTTCTCCATTTTTACAATTTTTAGTGTAATCTATTGTTCATTTTAAACTATACAGAGAAGAGAAAATTATGCTATCTATGCTATCAAATATGTTAAGAAGTACAGTAAGTTAGATGATAAGAAATCTTATTTTCCAGAAGGCAGTAGCAAAATGACAAATCTCAAGATTTGTAACTCATCTCACATACAGTTGGCTCGTACAGTTAAGAATATGTTACAGTTTCTAAGAATGGTTTCTTTCATTCTTAGCCAAATATTCTACCTCTATGAAATATTTCTCTTCTCCTCCTTCCTAGATAGATTTCCTTAGTACACTGCAGTCTTTTCCCCAACTGTACCCTGCCTCAGCACATTTTTTTCCCTGGTGCTTCTAAATCTTTCACGATTTCCACTCTACGCCTAAACACATTGTGCAAAGTTAAGATGGTATGACTAGAAATCATAGTTGCACTTTGAAACAAATCCATTGCAATTATTTTTTTTTAATTGTAAACAGGGCAAGATAGGTCACCTGAGGGCTGAAGAACAGACTTATGTTTATGGGCATAGCATTGCTGACTTCAGAGCTAAAGAAATAATTATTTTCAAAAGGAACTTCATAGATGACAATGAGACAAATCCCAAAAGTATCCCGGAGTTTTAATTCATGTCATTCAATTCTGAAGTAAACATCAGCTTCAAAATCAAATTTTAAAAAATGAATATGTATCATGGGGGGACGCAATGGCTCAGCGGTTAAAGACACTGAGCTTGTCAACTGGAAAGCTGACAGCCCAGGTTCAAGACTTGAGCACTGCACAACAAGGTGAGTTCCTGTTAATTCCCCAGCATCTGCTCAGCCAGCAGTTCGAAAGCATGTAAAAGCAAGTAGATAAATAGGTACCACTTTGGTGGGAAGGTAATAGCGTTCCGTGCACATCAGTGTTTAATAATGATGGCCACATGACCACAGAAATGTCTACGGACAATGCTGGCTCCCTTGGCCAAGAAACAGAGATGAGCACTGCCCCCTAGAGTCAGATATGACTGGACAGGGGAAGCCTTTATCTTTTTATGTATTATTTCAAGTGAAAAAAATCTATGAGACAGTGGTTAAAAATTACCATTCATTAAAAATGAAATTTTGAGTATATGGTAAAAGCCGCTTAATACTTTTCTGTATTAACAGCAATAGCACTTAGACTCATATACCGATCCACAGTGGTTTACAGCACTCTCTGAGCGGTTTATAATAACAGCATATTGCCCCCAACAATCTATGTCCTCATTTTATCAACCTCAGAAGGATGGAAGGCTGAGTCAACCTCGAGCCCCATCAGGGTGAACTCCAGACTGTGGGCAGAATTAGCCTGCAATACTACATTTCAACCACTGTGCCACCAAGGCTTAATTAATGTCAATATGTTTTAATTGTTAGAAGTTTTGCTCATTAATAGCAGACATACAATAATACCACTGTAGATGGAGATAAGCATTTCATACAGGATTTTAAGAAGTTCTTACCAATTTCTGCAGGGAGTTGTTTGATTTTGTTCTCCCGTATGCTTAGCATGGTGAGATTGGACAAGTTCTTGATATCCTTTTCCACTGCAGTGATACGATTAAAGCGCAGATAAAGTGTAGTAAGGGAAGTTAGCCTATACACCACAGGAGGAATCTCTCTCAATTTATTATGCCGTAGATCAACCATGCGAAGCTGTTTCAAGTTACCAAGAGAGTCCGGAAGGCTGGTGAGTGAGTTCTCACTTAAGGCCAAAGTTTCCAGATTCACAAGACAGCCTACCTCAGCAGGTAGTGACTGTAACTTATTTCCATATAAATAAAGTTCCGTCAACTGGGTTAACTCTTTGATAGATGATGGGAGCAGATGTATAGACCTCTTAGCCAAGTCCAAACGTACTGAATTTTCTTCCCGGCATTTGTTTAGCTCTTTGATCACCTCAGCATTACTGGACTTTTTACGGGCCCCTGGAGCTGGATTGGGCCGTTTTATTGTGTTGTCTACTGAAAAAGCCACGCCTGGCTGTGCACTACTGGAGTCCTTCTTCCCATCTTTGGTTTCCTTCCCTTTGGTCTTAGATTCTCTGTCTTTACTTTCTTTCCCAAATCCACCAGAGGCCTTGGCCTCTTTCTCCCTTTCTTTTGCTGAAGACACTTTGGGATCCTTCTCTTTACAATCTTTTTCTTTTCCAAGACTACTACTCATTGTTCCTCAGTTTAATTAATACCACTTGAAATCCAACTTGAATTTTAGTTAATAAAATCCAAAAGAGGAATAAAGATAATTTGTTCACTGTTGATATACAAGGAGGTTTAAAAGACAAAATGTGGTCTAGAAGTATGGCGGCATAGTAGTTATCTGCTACATGTTGGATCCAGATAGCTTCAATATCAGAAAACTTGGTTACTGGTGCTTAGACAATAAAAAAAATCTTCATTAGACGTTCTGTAATATAATAAGAGAAAAAAAGCAGACATTAATGGATAGATGCCTCTAAACCACGTTGATTTGCTCTGCAAAAAAAAAGGATATAAAATCACAGTTCATAACAATTTTTTCTTTAACTGTTTATAAGGAATGAAAGATTCATTATATTTCCCAAAACTGTATTAATATAAGTTAGAATTGCTATTTTAATTGCCTAAAAACTAAAAGATCTTAACATGAGTTATCAGCTAACAAGATATTTCAATGACGCTCCCCTGCCTTGCTCTAAACTGGTCTTACTTGACAGAATGCTCTAATATAGACCTTACGTCGACATGTTGTCAGTGAAATTTTCGACTTTTAGACCTTCTCATTACATCTAAACCCCGGTGTGTTATTGAGAACGTTAATTTTTTTAGTACCTTTTACATATTTTGATTTTTTTTCTACAATAAAATTTATACGAGAACTGTTGAATCGTAAGGGATTAAGGTGAATCCAAAATAGGTAAACACACCTTTGGTTGCTGGCATGTCGCGGCCCGGTACTGGTCATGGACTTGGGTTGGGGCCCCCTACTCTAGAGTAGTGTTTCTCAACCTTTGCAATTTTAAGATCTGAGGACTTAAATTCCCAGAATTTCCCAGCAAGCAATGAGGAATATGTATTTTAAAGGTACCAAGGTTGAAAGACTCTGCTCTAGAAGGCTGGAGCACCTACATGAGTACAGGTAGTCTTCGACTTACAACAGTTCATTTAGTGACCATTCAAAGTTACAAAAGCATTGAAAAAAATGACTCATGACTGTTTTTCACACTTATGACTGCTGCAACATCCCCATGGTCATGTGATCAAAATTCAGACACTTGGCAATTGGTTCATATTTATTATGTTTGCAATGTCCCAGAGTCATGTGATCAACTTTTACAACCTTCTGACAAGCAAAATCAATGGGAAGCCAGATTCACTTAACAACCAGGTTACTAACTTAACAGTTGCATTGATTCACTTAACAACTGTGGCAAGAAAAGTCATAAAATGGGGCAGAACTCACTTAACGAATGTCTCACTTAGCAACATAAATTTTGGGCTCAATTGTAGTCATAAATCAAGGACTACCTGTATAGTATGAGTTATGTCCATCTCCAAATATATTGAAACAGAGGGACTCTTCCAAAACCAAGCAGAGATATTTTATAATGTTCACTCACAACTTCTAGTATTCAAAGTTACTACAAGACACAGAAAATTTTATTGTGAATTTCAGCTTAAAATGAATCATAAATATCATTAAAAAACTTGGATTATATGCCATCAATTTATTAACTCTTAGCAAAAAAACTTTTGCCACTTCCTCCAAAAAGATGCTGATAATGAAATATATATATTTATCATTTATTTATTTCTGTTTCACAGGCCTGGACAAACTGCAATAAATTAAAAGAACAAAGTACTAAAAATCATATATAACTAATGAAAGAACAGAAATCAGCTGCTGAATTCCTTCTGGAATTATATTCATCTAATTTTCAAAATGCCTGCAGAATGTGGACATTTCACACTTGAAGGTGGAGAATATTCCATAAAATAAGTCTGCACTGATAAGCCTAGCCT